ACACAGTCTACCAAAATCCAAATAAAACCATTTATCCAGAGAGAGTTCTAGTGTAACTATCTGCTGAGAAATAATTCACAAGGTAACATTTTTCAATGACTATTTCTCTCAGGTGCAACTCAGTAAGGAGCGTTCTGTTAAAACTTATACCCAAAAGCCTTTTCAATTTCTGAATACAAAGATGAAAAAAAAAAATGCTAAAGCTTCCAAATTTTTTCATCTCTTAGGCTGTTGCTTGTAGTTTTTTGGTGCCAAGGGCACAGTTGAATATATCATTTTATTGGCTGGAAATAACTTTATTTGGTAAAACTTTTAAAAGGAAAGATTATTTGGTATTCTGCACAGATTATTACAAAACCTTAGAAGAAAGAATTGAAAAAAAACATGGAAATGCTGTGTGAAGTTTCCTTTCAGGAAAATCAGGCCTGCTTAATGGTGTTTCACCACCACACCTTTCAATCCTTCCCTAAACACTACTTAGGATAACTGCTTTGTCAGGTGAACAGTTGTATTCCAGCCACCAAGACACAGCTCCATATTCACAACAATCTAATTCAAAACTTTTACATCCCCAAATATTTTAAGAGCAAATGTGAATCTGATATGATATATATCAGTCTTGTATAGAATTTTATAGTATTTCAATGAGAAACGAATGGTATGTTTTCTGTTGTTCTTGATGTTCCTTTATTCAAAACAATTCTTTAATGTATTTGAATAAAAGTAGTTTATGCCTCTCAAGAAGAGTTCCTACAGCTTTTATAGGCTTCCATGGATTAATAACATGGTAGCTCTTTTTTGTAGCAAGGTTTACTGAAAATTAAACTGATCTACAGAGTCTCTCACAGCAGTAATTTGACAAACAAGGATATCAGCAGTACCCATACAAATGAATATAAGCATAATATCAGCACTGTTTAGAGACAACATGCTATTTCTAACTCTAAATTGAAGAATGATAATATATGCCATAACGACATGATAAATGAACACACCTTCAAATTCTTACACTAAAATTATCAGAGTAAATTAAATAATTCTCTTGTGTTATCTTCACCTATGCCTTTATTTTATGAATATTTCCGTTGAATAGTTATTTTGGTGATTCAAATGAAATAAATTCCTGGAATAAAGCACTATTCTGACATGAGGAACTATTTACTGTACCTTCATGCTTCCTGTTACAAGCTCCAAAGCTGGTACTGTAAGAATGGCAAGGATTTTTCTTGTTTGATTTAGCAGAAGTGAACTCCTTAAGAATAGTATTTTTTCTGAGATGTTATTTTCTCTGCAAGTTCTCTGAGACTATCGACAGAATGCTCTAAAGTGAAGATCAATGTGAGTTGCAGCAGTTTTGAAAGAAAGGCCAAAAATATCCTAAAAATTGCAAACCATGGTGCTTCTTTCCTGCCAAAACATTGTAACTGTATCTCTGTTTTTCCTGTAGCTAAGACTGGGTGTGAGTTACTAAAAGTACAGTTTATTCACAACTAAGCAATGAGCTCGGTCAGAGAACACCTAGGCAATCTTGACATCCTCATGTCCATGGGCCTTGAGAAGATGCATCCATGAGTGCTGAGAGAGCTGGCAGACACCATAGTAAGGCCACTCACAATCATCTCTGAAAGGTCATGGTGATCAGTTCAGGTGCTTGAGGGCTGGAATAAAGCAAATATCACCCCAGTCTTTCTGAAAGGGCAAGAAGGAGGACCCAGGGAACTACTAGCCAGTCAGCCTCACCTCAATGACCAGAAAAGTGATGTAGCACCTCATTCTGGAGGCCATTTCTATTTGCATGGATGACAAGAAGGTGGTCAGGACAGTCAGCATGGATTGACAAAAAGCAAGTCCTGCTTAGATAACCAAACAACCTTGTATGATGAAATAGCTACCTGGATGGATGAGGGGAGAGAGCAACAAGTATTGTCTACCTCAACTTCAGCAGGGTTTTCAACACTGTCTCTCACAACATCTTTGTAGGGAAACTGGGGAAGGAGAGTGAGTGGATCGAGAACTGGCTGAACAGTAGATCCCAGAGGGCTGTATCAGTGGCATGGGGATGGATGTTGCATGACTGTCTCTAGTTGTATCCCCAAAATTCAATACTGGGCCCAGAATTGTTCCAACATATCCATCAATTACTTGGATGAAGGGGCAGATGCCTCTTCAGCAATTCTGATGATAACACAAAGTTGGGAAAAGCAGTTAATATCCCAAAGGGCTGTGCAGCCCTTCACAATGACCTCAACTTGTTGGAGAGGTGGGCAGAGAAGAACCATCCAAAATTCAACAGAGGCAAATTTAGAGTCCCGCCTCTGGGTAAAAATATGCCACCAGCACAGCCTGGGGGCTGACCTCCTGGAAAGCAGCTCTGTGGAGAAGGACCTGTGTGTGCTAGTGGACAACAAGCTGTCTGTGAGCCAGCAGTGCTCTCTGGCCAAGAAGGCCAAAGGCAGCCTGGGCTGCATTAGGAAGATCATTGCCAGCAGGACGAGTGAGATCATCCTGCCCCTCTACTCATCCCAATCTGAAAAGACACACATCAACTACCGCAAAACAAAAAAAAAATCTTTATAAAGTAACCTCCTGTGAACATGACTCCAAGACACTCAGTGGGAATTTTATCTTTGTTTTCAATGGTGTCAGGATCTCACCCATAATAAATAGTGCTGGTAGGGGAGGCATAAGAAATTCTGCCAGGCAACTTAATAGCACTTTGCTGCCTACTTGCTGTAAAGTAGTGTCCTTCAGGCAAGAAAACAAATTTTATAAGATGACATGGACACAGGTTATAGAGATTATCCATGTTTTTTTTCACATATATAATACTTCTCACTTTTCTTTTATTGGAGTAAAGGTCTGATTATCCCCAGAGATATCTCAATGCATTTCTTTAGATCACACTTTAATCCTTCTGCTGATCCATCACTTCTCACTTGACAAGGCCTTGACCAAAGCCATACTCCAAAATTCTCTAATCAGGAGCTTGTAATTTATTGCTCATAAACAACTCTAAGACCTATGCTCTCACCTATGAACCATAGGTCATGAATCTTGGCATCATATTAGAGCTTGATTGCAGCCAAAAATTCTCAGATTACTTTTCAGATCAACACATAGGCAGCCACACTACTTATACTGCATCCATCTGTTAAATAAAATCCATCTGACCTTGATTGTGTGTCAGCTGAAGTATGCACACAACACGAACATGGAAACAATGAGCATAAACTCATTTATTGCCTTCGAGATAATAGATTTATTTCAATATTCTGGGTAGAATGTGTTCATCCAGAAAAGCAAAAGAGAAATCCCAAAAGGTGCGGGAGCGTGTTTTTTATTCTTTCAGTGTCTGTTCACAACCCCTCCCCCCCATCTCACTCCTAACCCCCTTTTCTCCAAGATGTGAATCCTCCCTTCCCCTGCCTCTTTCCCTGCCCCTTTTCCTGGAACAGTCCCTGTCTATTTAGTGAGGCTCAACACCCTATTGGTTACCTTGTGTTACTCCACTCCCCTGTTTCCCCTGATATGTTTATGATATTTTAGTCCTGCCCCAAACTCCTCCCCTGTTATTCCCCTATTGGTTGCTGTTCCTATACCCCTCCTCATAAGTTCTTGTATAAAACATCTGTCCGCCCGCCCCAAGGCGTCTTGGGCCACACCAAATAAATGGAACCTGTTCACCCCAAGTCCTGTGCCACCTCCATCTGTCCCCGCGCCAACAACTGGGACTGCAGAGCTTCACAGGGGGACCGGCCGCCCCTCCTCTTCCCTCGCCGCCCAGCACGCCCGCGCTCAGGGTGTCGCGGTGAAAGGGCGCCGACTGCGACGCAACAGATGGTAGCAGAGGATGGTTCCCTCCTTCGTCTTGTAAAACAAATGGGCAAATTCGTGGGGGCACCCGCCTCACGGAAGAAGAAGGAGGGAAGAGGAACATCTGCGGTTGCAGAAGCTTTGCCGAACGCTAAGAGGAGCCGAGTGCCGAGCGAAAAGAAAAGTTGGCTCCAGGACCCTTCTTTGTTCTTGCCTCCGCGCGCTCTACCCCCTGCCGAGATCAGCTGTACTGCCCTGGGGCAGACGTGCTGCAGGGGCTTTGAGGGGTGGTGGACCTACCCCAGGACAAAAGAGGGCGGTTCGGCAGCGTCTCAAGGGAGCCCGAAGAACGGCACGTCAAGGGACGGCACCGGAACGAAACCACCAGAGGCCGATAGTGGCCGAGCCCAAGGCTTCAGGGATGAGCCTTGAGGGCAGCCGAGATCGGCTGAGCCTGCTTGCAGGACTCGGGAACACCTAAGCCTCTGGAAGAGCCAAACCAAGAAGGAACGTCCCCAGTTCGGCGCAACTTTTCCACCAAGTTGAGGAAAAGAATCAACTCATCTCCACCCGGGCCCCAGAGGGTAAGGGGGGCTAAATCGGGATGGGGTCCATCCTGCCGGGTGGCTGGGTTTCCCATTTTTTCTTTTCACATTTTTACCCTCACCCGTGCTCAGACGAGGGCTGTATTCTGCATGTCCCCGGTGGGAAAGTGGGTTTTTCGTTTCTGGGGGGGGAGGTTCCAGGTACTCCTCACCTAGTCTTTTATGGGGACCCATATTGGATTGCTTTTTCTTCCCCTCGAAAAGTCATCTAAGTCATCTTCTCTAGTCTTTCCTCCCCAATCTGGGCTGGACGGAGGGGGTAGAAAAGACACGAGCGGGACAGACGTTTAGAAGGCGGCATGTTAACTACAGGAGGGTTGGTGAAAGAAGCCCTTTACACCAACGCATTGTGTTGACATCCAGCTGCGTCGGGCTCCTCTCCTGTAAAATTCCCCTTTTTGCTTCTGTGAAGCTCCCCATACCCTCTTCCCCTCGGATTTTCCTAAACTTTTCCCTATCTTCCCTTGGGGATGGCTGTGGCCAAGCCGCCCCAGGCGTCCTTCCGGGCACGGCTGTCTTCCTTTGGGGATGGTGTTGGCCACACCACCTCGGGGGGGGGGGGGGGGGCGCAGTGCACCCAGCACCCCCTTACAAGATGGCACTGGCCACGCCACTTGTAACATGTTTACCCGCACCAATCCTTCTCTTCCGCCCCTGGTTTCCCGCCAGCCCCACCCTCTCCTCAAGGGCCCCAACAATCAAAATTGCCGCGAGGCTAGTCCCTGTGCGGGGGAAGGCAGGGTTGGATATTCCCTAATCCTTCTTCTAGCTCCTCCTCTGGTGGGACGGATCGCTGTCGAGGACCTCCCATCAGAGGACCCTCCTTCTTAGAAGATCACTCCCCTTCTCGGGGGGTGGGTCTCCTTTGAGGGAAGGGGGGGCTGAAACCCCGGACCGGAAACCCACCATTTTGTCTTCCCCCTAAGATGGCGGCGCCCTGGTCCACTCCTTACCGATTCCCCTTATCCATCATGACAGTCACTAATCAAGTGATTGTCTGATTCCCCTATCCCATTCCTTGATGCACCCTACCCAATGTTCCCTTTTATTTAATAATCTATTTGTTGAGTTATATTTTATAGAAAGAAATATCATCCTATTTAGTTTATACACACGGTATTATGCCCACTCCGTAAATAAAGAATAAAATCAGACAAGCCATGTCACCGCTCGCTGCCTTAACTCTGCTATACGAATTTCGTGAAGGCAAACATCTCCAGCGCCGCGACAGCCCAAGTTTCAAATCAGATCAAGCTATGAATCCTGCTGAGTGTTTTACCCCGAATTCAGAATTTATTTATGTCAATTTTATACGCTTTATATATTAAGTTGTTTTATTGTAATTGTAATTAATTTGTACTTTTCTGATGTTTTTCAACTTATTTCCGTTTAGTAATTTGTAATGTTACTATATGATTTTGTTGTGTTTTACATATGAAGTTTATATTATTTATATGCAGTATTAATTTGTTTAAACATCAGAACTCTCCTTTTGCAAAAAGAAAGGGGGAGATGAGGGAGCGTGTTTTTTATTCTTTCAGTGTCTGTTCACACCCCCTCCCCCCCATCTCACTCCTAACCCCCTTTTCTCCAAGATGTGAATCCTCCCTTCCCCTGCCACTTTCCCTGCCCCTTTTCCCAGAACAGTCCCTGTCTATTTAGTGAGGCTCAACACCCTATTGGTTACCTTGTGTTACTCCACTCCCCTGTTTCCCCTGATAAGTTTATGATATGTTAGTCCTGCCCCAAACTCCTCCCCTGTTATTCCCCTATTGGTTGCTGTTCCTATACGCCTCCTCATAAGTTCTTGTATAAAACATCTGTCCGCCCGCCCCAAGGCGTCTTGGGCCACGCGAAATAAACGGAACCTGTTCACCCCAAGTCCCGTGCCGCCTCCATCTGTCCCCGCACCAACAACTGGGACTGCAGAGCTTCATAGGGGGCCCCTCCTCTTCCCTCGCCGCCCAGCACGCCCGCGCTCAGGGTGTCGCAGTGAAAGGGTGCCGACTGCGACGCAACAAAAAGGTAGCCTTTTCCTTACTCTGCAGAGAAGCATTCCTGGTCCTCTCCCACAGAGCACTTCTGGTGCTTTTTTGGTTAAAAATGTTATTAGATGCAGGAATAAATTTAACAGCATAAGAATAAATCTTTAAAATAAATGCAACCTTTAAGATCACCTTCTGGCTGCATGATGAAAATCTTCATTGTAGAGTTCAATTTTCATTTTTCACTTCCAGTTTTTCCCACTTTTCTATGGATCTTGCCAAATTTCCTCTTTTAAAGTCATCCATACCTATTGTAAAGTGGATTTGAAAGACTCAATAGCAGGAAGAAGAAAAATTATTTAAACCTAAATCTATCTGGTCTTGAGATGCATACTGTGTTTGAGGCTTTTTTTTTTTAAACTAATAGTTGGTGTGATATTACAATAGTGTATGCTATTCATTTACATATGGTCATACAAAAAGATCTATTTTCAAATGTGAGACTGAGCATTCACTGAATTTTTAAGTATTTTCCTGTAGTAGCTACACTTTAATTCTCTTTAATCTTAAATTTTTCCCAGGTAATATCTTTATGAAATGACATGCTTGGCATTTAGTATGTAGTGCACCTTCAACATGTGTTGCTTGATAAATACAGAATTAACTTATTTAAAAAACACACACAATGCATAACTCATTACTGGAAATCCAAACTGTGTTTATATTGCTTTATATCTTCTGATGGCTCATAGTCCCTGCAACCGCAGTATACACAATTTAAAGGTTTAATTAAGTTTAATATTTAAGGTTTATTTTTCATTAAATACTACTGCAACAAGGCTAAAACATTTACTGGAAGAATGCAAGATTTCTTTGTTCTATAGTTCTGTCACAATTCATTTTCCTGACATCAAGAATAAAATAAGGTCACTTTAAAACAAAACAAACTGAGTAATAAGCAAACAAAACAATAAAAAAGGCAACCAAAGGAAAAAAAAAAGCAGGTTAAATGATAATAATCTGATGGCATTTTAACTGATTTTACATTTCTACATAAATTAAGCTGCTTTGATTTTCTCTCTTCCTGTATCACAATTACCTTCCCTGTTTTGATGTCATTGTATCACTGCTTATTTTTACCCCCTCCTTCATTGTTTTCACTTGCTAATGTCAATTTCCTTCTTTCCTCACATTCTGAGGAAGATGCCAAATGAAGGCATCATTAGCACATACATAAGTCTTCAATGACTGCGTTCCCATCGCTGGGAAAATTAAGGCACTGATATTTAAATACAAAATCCTTCATTTGACAAAGCAAATCTGGCAGTTCTTTACCTTCCAGGAAAACTGAATTCCCAGTATAACACAAAAATGAGCCTTTTGGATTGCTGGAGGTTAAACCAAGCTGCTAGGAAAGCCAGAGAGAGGATCTGACTCCCAGTTGCCTCTGCTAGAAAAATTAATCCTGGAATTTAGCATCTGGATCCTTCAACTGCCAAGCTTGCCCCAGTTGGGTGTTTCATTGCTGGGTTAGATTAAAAAAGAATGATGAGCAGGAGCAGGTTCTGCTCCATCGGTAACAAAATAAAAGGAGAAAAAATATCACAAAAACAAAACCCAAAAATCTAGGAACAAAAAATACTTAAATCAAGTGTGTCTTGACATTGCATGTGTATGCTAATCCACACTGAAACAATGCCCTGCTTTAAAGCTATGTCAAGAAAAGTCAGCCGTGTCTGTCAGTTTGTTTTTGAAAACAGTATGAAAGTTAGAGGTGGCAAATTTGTGCAGGTTCAAACTCCTATTAGGGTGCCACCTGTCAAGTTTTTCTTTGAGAATGCAGGTTTATAAAATGCATTTTGTTTCAGGGTGAGGGCAACTCTCATCAAGCATTCCACTCTCACACACACCCTGTACACTCATGGTAATGTGATTTCAAAATGCAGATGTGCTCCACCTGCTAGACTAAAATCCAGATATGGTCGTAGTTCCCCTTACAAAGTTCATACAAGATATTCTAGGGATTTGAGCTAGTCCCATCATAGTTTGGAGTCCATCTGCGAAGCTGGAAGTGTATTCAGATTCTGAAATCTCTACTTCGCAATTCATGTCAAGAGCCTCATCTTTTTATTTGCATAAATGTAGGATGCTAATGATCACATTTTGACATCTTACCTATCCATATGTTTTAACTACAATGTTTTGGATTCTCGCCTTACCCAAAACTCCATAAAATTGTCCTTTGCTTTTCCCTTCCCCAAAGAAACTTTGAGAGCTCCAATCATAGCATTAGAAGTCAAAAAATCTGGACAAAACATCACTGATCCACCATATTTATGGCAAAGATGGAGTGAATCAGCAAGGTGTTGTAATAAAACTTGTTTTTAGAGAAATCTCTCAAAGACAATCACCTTTCTGGTGAGGTCTATCTGATTTAGAGGGAGGAGAAGTTAATCCAGGTCCACAATTTCTATAAAGAGTTTCCAGCTGTAGTTTTATGCTGCAAGATTACTGTGTGTTTGTTGCATCTAAGGGAGATGCTGTCTTGATGGCAGAAAATGTATGTCCTTGAACAGTTACAATCTGCCATAGGTAATGATAATTTATTTATCTGCATTATAGAGAGCTAGGACACATAGAAGTTGGTGATAAGAAGAAATGAACCCTGGGAGAAGTAACAGGATGAGAAGTCTATAAATCCTATTCAGCTTTTCTTGTTGATGCTGAAAGTCTGTAAATACATATAGATCAGAAACTGTGCTCCAATGCTCAGGTTAGCAGATACCCTGGTTTCCCTAGATAAATCACAGAGTAGAATACACTACTCAGTCATTTTCACTGAAAATCTATAACGCAGCCATTTTTCTTCAATATAAGGTGATAATGCCTACTGGCTTAACATCAACATTGTGTCATGGCTGGGTGGCTAGACTATATCCAGAATATTCTCTTAATGTTATGCTAGGGCTGGTATATTTGCAAATATAAGCACAGGGGGGAAAAAAACAGAAAATTGCTTCAGCAACTAGTACAGACAAAAGAAATTAGTTTTTTAACTTTGTCCCTTAATCCATGGTTTGGTCAACATGGCTAAGACTTTCGAAAGCTACAATTTCTGCTATGTGACATTGTCCTTTAGATTACACATTTTAAAGAAATACCATTTCTGAGAAGATTGGAGTAAAGCTGTTTTAGGCATTCAGTTTTCATTTTCTTAAGTAGGAAATAAGAAGATCTCCAAATAGCTACTCATTTTGAAAATTCAAGTAACTGGAAACTAGGGGAGGAAGTTTTCCTTCATGCCTTGCAGTGCTGTAGATAAATCTCTGCTGCTCTGTGGACCTCCATGAGCTCCAGGGGTACAACATGACTAACCATCATCTTCACCACAGCCTGCAGGTGAATCTCAGCTCCAGCACATGGAGCACCTCCTCTACCTCCTTCTCCACCGACCTGGGTGTCTGCAGAGTTGTTCCTCTCACATGTTCTCATGCCACTCTTCTCTGGCCCAATTACATCTGCACAATAACTTGTCACTTCTTAAATATGCTTTCATAGAGACATTACCATCATTCCTGATTGGTTTGACTTTGATGGGTCCATCCTAGACATGGTTGTCATTGGCTCTCGTGGACATGGAAGAAGCTTCTGGTAGCTTCTCACAGAAGACACACCCATAGCTCCCCCACAATGAGAACCTGGCCATGCAATTCCAATACAACAGTGAAACAGACAGAGAAAAGCAGAACATTGGTGATTGTAAATATAAATAGATCTAAGAGACTTAGAAGAAAAACAAGGAATGAACTTACAGTGAAGGTAAATGAGTAGGATCCATACTGAACAGAAACTGCTCAATTTATATTTTGCTGGCTGAAAAGCAAGACCCTTTTATCTAGTGTGATTTCTTTTTAGTGGTTTTAGTTTGTTCTATTTCTGACAAAACACAGCTTCAAACATTGAAGGATATAAGGATAGAGTATGCTATGTTTAGTATCCTCTTAAGAAAGAATAGACCAATTGCACTCCATGGCCTTGGCTGCCTGGGGTAGCACTAGCACTTTTGTAAGCTCTTTGTCCAGATACTTAAAGCAAGTACAAAATAAACTTTGGCATAATCTAGGCAATTTGATTGTAGTCTAAAAAAAACTTATAAAAAGTACATAAATATCCACCAAAGAAAGAAAATTGTACTTTCTCACAAGAATGTAAAGAGTAAGTCAATAATATGGGACAACTCAAAGATACAAAGTAAATAGAACAAACTATAGCTGGTACTAATTCTAGAAATTTGATGGGGAGATCATAAATATGCATATGTCTTCTTGAATCATGCAATTTAATCAAGAAATAAAATTTATTAGCTGATGAGAAATGTTGAAGAGGTGGCAGAATATCTCTCAGAATAGAACCTGTGTCCTAATCAGATCAGAATCAGATATTCCATCAAGGAAATGAGTCAAACTGCAGTTCAATAACTTCAAAAACACAAGCTAGATATTATGAATTGCCTTTGCAAAACAAAAGGGCATTGTCCACCTCCACAAAACATTATGAGGACAATCTTTTCTATACTGCTTATTGTTTGTCATAAGCTATTGAGGACCAGGTGCAATAACAATGCCTAACTAACCTAGATACACTATAACAGGTAAATTTAGGCCTGGTTCCCAGAATGAAATTTTAATCTTAGAACTAGGTAAACACATACAACCTATATAGGAGGAATGAAGATAATCTCGGAAGGATAATGAAAATAAACTCATATGATGAACAAGAAGCCAAAAATAAGACCCAAGGAAATGCTGATGACTAAACTTGCCTGGAATTAAATGCTCTGTCTGGACTTGAGACTCATAAACCTGGGCACCCTTCTTCAATTTGTATTCATGTCTGAATTCATTCCTGGATCTAGACTGCAATTGCTTTTTTTCAAAGAATGAGATATCTTGGATAGGGCTTAAGGTATATTTATACTTTGGAAGAAGGAACAGTGCTTGTTGTGAAAAAAACAAAGGGTTACATCTTTCTACCCTAAGGAATTATTTTTCCTTCATTCAGAATTTTTTGTATATTTTCCCAATGACTATTCCATTGTGCAGCTTTTGACCAGGAGAGAGTCTCTGAGCAGGGCTTACACAGAGCCAAGACCTTTCCTGCCACGCAAGGGGGAGGTTGGGAGGTAACAGCTGACCCCAGCTAACCTGAGGGATATTCCAGACCACATGACATGCTCAGTACATAAAGCTGAGGAGAGTAAAAGGAGGAAATAGAGGACATTTGGAGTGATGGTGTTTGTCTTTCCGAGTCACAGTTATGTGCGATGGGTCCCTGCTCTCCTGGAGATGACTGAACATCTCCCTGCCCATGGGAAGAAGTGACATTTCCTTGTTTCACTTTGCTCGTGTGTGCTGCTCTTTCTTTCCCTATTAAACTGTCTTTACCTCAACCTACAAGTTTTCTATCTTTTATTTTTCCAATTCCCTCCCCCATCCCATTGGTGGGGGAGTGAGCAAGAGGTCTTGGCTGCTGGCTGGGGTTATACCACCTCCACACATACACAAAAACTATCAGAAGATAATATATTATGATCCCCTAGTAAGAGAAGACTTCAGTAACTGTAGTATGGAGTTACTCTTCCCTAGAATGATCTTCCTGATCCTGCTCATCACCTACAGTTCTGCAGTGTTACAGTGGTACAGTATCAACAGGAGCATGGATCTATGTCTCCACACAACTCCACCTGACTCACCCTTTGTTGCACACTCTATAATTGAGGGTTTAAGTGGCCCTCCTGGCAAATGACAGTGCTAGGATTCATATCCTTTGTACTAAAAAAATCAGAAGGACTAAGATCTTCTTTTTCTGTAAGTGATTTCCCTTCCTACCAGAGAAGGGAAAAGTGAGGAGGGAAGGAAAAAAATTATTCCAGTCAGATTTTAAAAAGAAAGAATATTCATCAGCATTTTATTACATGCCTAATTCAACATTGTTCAGTTCCTATATCCTAGATCCCAAGAAGGTGTAGGTCAGTGATCTTAGCCTGAGCAGGCCTGAGTATGCACAAAAAGAAGAAATTATAACAACAAGGACTTTTAGGCTGGACTTGAAGATTGAATTTTCAACATTTTTACATATAGTGAACACTAAGCAACAATTTCTTTACATAATAGTACTGGCTGTAGTGTACATTTGCAGCGTTCAGGAGAAAGAGGGTTCCCAGGAAGGAGAATATATGTTCCTTGGCAAGCATTCCATAGAGTTTAAATCCATTACACTCTATATGACTTGAAATGAGTCCTAAAATACCTATTGATCAGTTCCATATGTATCAGAGCCACATGCAGCATCTGTTATCCATCTCTACAGAATAGTCCAACTTACCTGCTTCATACTCCATATGGCATCACCCCAAGGACCTTTTGGAATATATATATATATATATATATATATAAGACAGACTCAAAACTGACAAATTCAGGACCATGACATCACCTTCTAGTGCATTTCAAAATCACTCAAAAATGGCCCCTCCCATTTGGAAAAGTACCTGGACCTATGCTTGAAACTATACACAATTTTTTTACACTTCCTAAGTATTTTTTCTGGTGACTAGTACCCCTTGAAACTAAATTTTGAGGACAAATTTCAAAAGGTTCTTACATGCAAAATAATTCTGTAGCTCAACAACCATTTAGAATCTACATATAAGCCACAATAGATTCTTAAGTTCATACACATATGGTATTGAAGCATTGCTTGAAAAAGCCAAATAAAATTAAAATATTATTTTTCTTATATTTAGGTGAAACCAGCAAAATTGATCTATTGGTAACTGGATAAAATGGCTAAATCATGAAATTACATACTATTCCACATGTAACAAATTTACACAGAGTAACAGAAAGGACTAAAAAAATTAAATTAAACAAATGCAGCATAAGCAGGTCCACATTCTGAATGGTAAGAGGTATGTATCATTCAGAAAAATAAACATTATTGACATTACTAAAACAGGTAAAAATAAACTAAAGGAGATGTGGAGGCTTTTAAGCTACATTCTGGAATTCCTATTATAAATAAAATATATTTTAAAATGCCATTACAAAAAAATCCGAAACATAGTGAAAGTGCATTTAATGAAACATTGTTAATAGTCATCTAGAATATGCCTGTGGACATGAAATCTATTAATATAGGAGACATGTGTCTGCAGAATCTCATCCTTGGTGGTCAGTTGCACTCCTCAGAAATAATCTGTTCTGATAGTAGTTTATCCCTTTTCTGTATGATTTTGACTATCATTTCTGTCAAACATAAGGAATTGGGTCTTGTACCCTCAGCTACTGGTTAAAATCCTTTTTCATTCAAATGAATCTATTAGTTAGATTCAGGAACTAAATAATATAAAAATAAATCTTTTAACTACATCACTACAATAAGAAGATTTTGATGACAACTGAAGCCCCATTTTACATAAAAAGAAAATAATAGTTTTATAAGCTATAATGAGAAGCAAGAGGGATGATTCATTCTGGCATCCTTAGAAAGAAATGAAAAAAATTATATCTCACCAGACACGGGAATTGCCCACCTCCATGTAGTTACTAGATAAAAAAAAAAAAAAAAAAGAGAAGAGTAGGAAAAAATATTTTGGACAGAGAAATACCTATGCAAAGAAAAATGATAGATCACTGAGTCTTAAGGAATGATTCCTAAGAATCTGCCAAAGTATTATTTGGCAAAATAGAATCATAAATAGCATCATTAATAGAAATTAGGAAATAAACTTTGACTTTAATTACATATATGCATGTCTATATAAAGTCAAGATACATCAAAAAACATAGCTCTGACTAGCTTATTCCTTAGTCAATTGAAAAAAAAATCAAAATAGGTGAGTAAATCCAACTATGTTACATAAACTATTACCTATCTCATTTGTCAGGAGCTAAACAGAAATGGTCTTCTACAGCAGTAGCAGCAAGCCAAACTACGTGTTTAATGTTGAAGCAATCAGATGAGCAACCCATTGAATGAGCCCTGGGAGTCTCAAAACTCACAAGCAATGTTCCAGAAGGATTAATGCACTACTGCTTTATAAAACAGAAGAGGTAAATATGGAATAGAAGGGACTATTCCTACATGCATAGGGATCAACAATCATTTTAGAAACCATTTTGAACTGCACTGATTAGTCTCATCTGTGCTTTAAACTGGGGTAGGTTTGTTAATTCAATTCACTTATTTAATTTACATTGTGCAGGCATCAAAATTAAGAAAACTAGCAACAAGTCGGGCAACTATTTCCAAAATTCTTCAGGGAGGTCACATATCTGTTTACTCCTCTTTCTGTTCCCCCTACTAACACATAGAATGGTTTGATTTGGAGGAGACCTTAAAGATCATCTTGTCCCAGCCCTCCACTATGGACAGGCACACCTTCCTCTAGAGCAGATTTTTCAGATGCCCATCCAGCCTGGTCTTGAAAAATTCCAGGGACGTGATATCTGCAACAGATCCAGTGCTTCACCACCTTCACAGCAAAGATTTTCTTCCCAATACCTCATGTAAACCTACCATCTGTCAGTTTAAATCCATTGCACATCATCCTTTTGCTACAGACCTTTGTAGAAAGTCTCAATTTCTTGTAGGATCCCCCTAGTTACCTGAAGGCTGCTATAAGGTGTCCCTGAACCCCAACTCTTTGAACGTGTCTGCACAGGAGAGGTGCTCCATCTCTGTGATCAACTTAGTGGCTCTCCTCTGGACCTGCTCTGACAGGTCCATATTCACTTATGCAGGCCTCCTGACAGTTTAGCCCAACTTCTTTATTGTTAGGATGCATCTCTCATGAGCTTGGAGAAGGTGACAGGAGTATATTAACCAGCTTTCTTGGGTTTCTCTTTCCTCTAGGGCTTTATCCAGGGTAGATCAAGCAGATCGCTGAAGAGACCAAAGTCTGCTTTCCTGAAGTCCAGGGAAGTGAGCTTGCTGCACACTCTTTTCACTGCCCAAAGGATCTTAAACTACACTACTTCATGATCATTGCAGCCCAGACTGCCATTGACATTCATATTTCCCACCAGCCCCTATTTTTTTGGAAAGAACAAGGTCCAGCATAACACCTCTCCTCACTGTATTCTCTGTCACTTGGCAAAGAAAGTTATCATCAATGCATTCCACTAACCCCATGGGTTTCTTACACCTGGCTATGTTATTCCTTCAACAGATACCAGGGTGGCTGAAGCCCCCATGAGAACCAGGAATTGTGAACACGAGGCTGGTCCTATTTGTCCATTAAGAGTCTCATCTACTCAGTCTTCCTTATAGGGCAGCCTGTAGCAGATCCTCACTATAATGTCACCTGTCCCTGCCTTCCCTTTATTCCTGATCCATAAGCTCTCAGTCAGCTCCTCATCCATCCTCAGGTGGAGCTCCATGCATTCCAGCTGGTTGTTGATACAGGGGACAGCGCCCCTTGTGCTCCTGCCTTCTCTGCTCCTGCCTCTCTTCTAAAGAGATGGTATCCTTCCACTCCAGTTATAAGAGCCATGCCATGCTACTGTGCCGTGCAGGTGTGTGCACATTCTTCACTCCTTTTGCTTATTCCCCATGCTCCATGCACATTTTTTGGAGACTTTTAAATTGCATTCTGATGAAGATGACTCACTGGCTGGAATGGCTGGAATTACTATTTGCTACTCTCATGTGCTCTCCTGCAGACCTGTGATCCCTCTCCAGGCTCTGGGCATCTTTTGCTGGGCCTGGCATCAAACTGGTATGAGTGGAATAGATTAACATTCCCATCCCACAGCAATTCTAGTTTGAAGTTGTCATAACCAGCTTGACAAATTTATGACCGAAGATGCTGTTTGCTGACAAATGGAACCCATCTGTCCCCCATACACCAGTTTTCTGAGACTGAGTCTCATGGTCATCTTTGTCTGAAGTCTTCTCTTTTTCTAGGTTTTTGGGGTTTTTTACTTTTTGCAATTGCTTATAATTGTGTTCTCTGCCTCGATTAGAAAATCTCTCTATTGCTGCTGTATTTCACTAACACTCCATAAAATTTATATTATTTAATTATGTGAAGAGTTCTGGGAAATAGTATAATAAAAGACATTATACAAAGCAAACGTACATTGTATTGTAATTTGGTTTGGTTACTTTAGTGTGTTTATATGCTTCAAGACTTTCTTCCCTAATAGTTAAATTCATTTATGTCACAGATGTTTGGTTATTGGTCTCCTGCCTCTTCTCAGAGATACTGTAATTGAGCACCTGCGTGTGGGGACAGAGGGAATTGGGGGTTCTTGATTAATTTTCTCCAGCTATAAATTATTTAGTGTCTTGTACCAATCTCTTGTCATCCTCTTTGGGACTCCTTTAAACTGTCAGAGATACCTATTTACTTTTAATTGATTGCTACTGCGCTCATTGAGGTTTCCTAGATGACAAACACAGAAGAAATATTAAAACTACTCATATCTAACTACAATAGGAAGAGGTGGCAAAGCACAAATTATTGCTAACAGTGGAGTCTAATCTTTTGAAGAACTGAATTGCAGATAGGGAGATCTAATTAGCCTCAAAGAATGGCAAGTGAGCTTAAACTTCTTGGGAAAAACTGCTGCAGCTGACCCAGACTGAGCATGCGGATGGACCATTTGATCTCCAGAGGTCCCTTCCCACCTCAGAAATTCTGTGATTGTGTGACAGAGCTAGTTAAGCATCAAGCCATCTTTTTTGTGGGAAATTAGGAAAGTGAATTGGGCTCCTTAAAATATCATGCAAAAAATCGGGCAGTTCCACTACTTATCCAATCTGTTTCTCAGCACTGATTCTCTGAGCCTAATAGTACTTGCCTTTTTCATATGGGCACTAGCATATATGTTTAAAAAAATTAAATTCTTACTACATTTTATATTAATGTCATATTATAACTGTCTCTGTTTTAACGTATTCTGTCTTTGGAATCTGCCAAGCATTTATCTCACAAGATTAATGAGACATTGAAACAAATACCAGCCCTTCAGATGTTAATTTTGTCAATCTGGCTCACAAAAAGCCCTTGAATAAGAGGAAAAAAAAAAATTTCACCACAGGAAAATACTGGTCATACAGTCATGTGGAGAAAGACTCTACCTGAAAATATCCAGAGAAAAGAAGTAACTGTTGCCTCACAAGAGAAGAATCATTATAATGCACAATCAATAGGAGGTCAAAGGTGTGGTACTAGAAAGGTCAGGAAAATGATAACAGCATTTGGAGGAGCCAGTGGAACTGTTAGCAACATAACATCTGGCTGAAGGCTCAATAGACTTATAAATGGATTACTGTGAGCCATCATATGTGGAAAACATCAGGATACAGGCAACTTGCATTGTAACTGGCTACTTAAGTGACTTTAAAAAATATTGTAGGGATTCATGGCAGAATTTATAACAACCTACAGTAATATATTAGATGTCTGAAGAGTGTAATTTTTTTTAAGCACTTGAATATAGCTAAAATTTACTATATTGAAATTAGCAGAGATTAGGAAAACATTCCAATTCACCATATAATCTCTACCAGAAACCCTGGACCTGAAAAAAATGTTCTGGCTGAAAAAAAGGAAATTTTTGAAATGAGGGCATGCATATCTGCCTTCAAAATATTTATTTATATAGGCCAGAAGGACAACACACTCAAAATACACATTGTCATACAGGATGCGTACAAGGCCTTATCAGCAGAGATCAAAAGCTATACCATCCCATTAGGTTTTAGTGGGAAAAAAAATGATGATACATAGCATATTGCTATATCTAAAGCTCTTGTCACAGTGCTGCTGGCATGTTGTTGCTCAGCATTGATCAAATTACTTTACACCCATATTTTACACATGTGATGAGAGATCCACAAGAAGATAATTGAACTCCTCTTCCCTGGACAGTCAAATTAATCCTTGCACTCCCTTTTCAATCACTACCTGAATACATTTCAAACAGTTTACTGCAGCCAAAAGCATCCTGGAAAGTAAACTGTGTAGTCCCTAGTGCCGCATGCCATTAACATCCTTTTCTGAAAGTGATAGGTAAAGAACATGCAATGGAACACAATATCTGCAACAAATATCTTAGAGTACTTATCCAGATTTTTTTAATAATCTGGGCATAATTAGCTCCCTTAAAAAATAATTAATATACTTATTAGAAAATTCTTTTACATGTTCTATATAATAGGCATTTGTATTTACACTTGAATTTAAAAAAGATATTTGCAGTGGTATTTGCTGTCCACAATGTATATTCACCCTCCTCTCAGAAAATAACTCTTTCAAAGAGGGATGGCACTTAATCCAAACCATATTTCTATATACAAACACGGTTACACCAAAAATAAAACCATCATACCAGAGAACCTACGTATACATTGCAATTCTTTAAAGGAAGAATAAGAAGATTCACTCATTTAAATACAATGCATGAAGAACTGAGGGGTTTTTTTTTCCTAACCAAGTATATTGATAGTATTTTAAATAAGCCATTATCTTTATTGCACCTCTGCAAAGACCTTATCATACACCAGCAGTGCTTAAGGCATACTAAAATTGTAAGGATTTTCTTTCTCAAAGAATTAGCACAATGTCCCTCTGGCACTGTTTAGAAATTCTTCATTTGCTCCACAAACGTTAAAGAGCTGGAAGAGCATATATGTAAAGAGGGAACACCAAAATAAGCATTATTTAACTGCATTCAAAATCAGCCTAATTTTTTAAAATTATTTCTTGAAGATTATTATCATGTAAGACAACTAATAATACAAAGGACAGGAAGTTTTCAAAATTCAAACCTAAGTGGCAAAATTTGTAAACATTAGTGCTTCTGCACCATGGGATTACTTTTCATTAGCAATTAAATCAGCCTTTTAAAACAATTACAATTTCTGTGGATTAGCCCTGTCTTTTTTCTCTCTTTCATTTCTCTATTAGTCTGTTGTAGGTAGACAAGTGGTCTTATACCAAGATAGTGTTGGAGTCAATGACAAAAGATGTCCATTTTCTTCTTATTCAAGACAGCTTTAGTAATTTCACACCCCTCCATATAAAGCAGATTTCAGCTTCTTCAGAAACTTGACCAAAGTGTGTTGAGCTCTTGTTCCAGCTGACTCTTGACTAGTGAAGGCCACTAGTTTCAACAGGGAGAAGGAGATCCCAATGTAAGTACCAGATCTAGAATGGATGACAAAGGGACAACATTTTATATAGATGGGAACAAGAAAATTTAGAACAGCTATTCCAGCTCAAAGGAGACCTCGGCCTGGTTGGAGGTTCTTAGGATGGATGCTGCTCTGCAGAACTGGGCCCATGCTTTTCATGAAAAAATTTCTTCCTTGTGTCCAGTCTAAATCTACCCTCTTCCCTCTGGACCCACTCTAAGAGATCCATGTCTTCCATCTTGTTAGGACTCCAGAGCTGTATGTAGCTCTCCAAGTGGAATTTCAGAAGAGCAGGAACAGAGGGACAGAATCCTCTTCTTCGCCCTGATAGCCACACTGCTTTTGATGGAGTCCAGGACAGGGTTGGTTCTCTGGGCTGTAAGTGCAGATTGCCAACTCATAACCAATTTTTCGCCCACCACTCCCCAGGACTGCTCTCAATCCATTCATCCCCAGTTCATGTTGGTAATGGGGATTACCCTGATGCAGATAATATTTTCACTTGGCCTTGTTGAGCTCCATGAGAATCGCCTGGGCCCAGTCCTCAATATTGTCAAGGTCCCTCCAGATGGCATTCGTCATGTATCAACTGCACCACTCACTGTCATCTGTAAACTTGCTGAGGTTGCACTTGACTCCATTATATATGTTGTTGATGAAGACATTAAATGGGTTTTGTCCCAGTAAATACTCTTGAGGGAGACCACTCATTTCTGGTTTTCACTTGGACATTGAACATGTGACTGAAACTCTTTGCATGTGACCATCCAGCCAATTCCTTATGCATATGATAGTTCAACTATCAAACTCTTATCTTCAATTTAGTGGCAAGAATATTGTGGGAGACCATATCAAAAGTCTTACAAATGTTCAGATAGATAACACCCATTAATGACTTTGCTTATCTACAAAAGCAGTTACTTCGTTTTAGAAGGCCACTAGATTCATCAGGCACAGTTTGCCCTTGATGAAACTAGATTGGCTGTTTCTAATTACCTCTTCACCTTCCATATGTTTTGACATAACTTCCAGGAGGTTCTGTTCCATTATTTTACTACATATTGAGATGACATGACAGGTCAGTAATTCCCAGCATCCTCTTAACACTTTTTTAAAATGGGTTTGATATTTCCTTTTTTCCCGTCACTGAGGCCTTGTTTTTGTAGGGAACAAATACTGAGGAAACTGATGTCATTGTGATGCCAATCTCAATTACTTTTGAAGGGTCATGATGATCAGTGGAGGTTCCTTAGGGGCTGGAAAAAGCAAAGATCATCCCTACCTTCAAGAAAGGTAGGTAGGGTTCAGAGAATTACAATTCAGCTGCATCTAAGTCTTGGAGAATTCAATGGAGCAAATAGCCCTGGAAACCTTTTCCAAATGTGTTAAAGGAAAGAAAGCTATAGGATTGGTCAGCATGGATATACAACAGGGAAGTCAAGCCTGATCAACCTTGCAGCCTTCACAACAAAAGGACTAGCTCAGCTCAGGGGGGAAAAGGGGGAGCAGGAGGCAATGAGAGAAGTGGCTGTCACTTATCCCAACTTTAGTAAGGTTTTCAAGACTGTCTCCCATATCACCTTCATAGACAAGATGAGGAAGTGTGGAAAAGATAAGTGGAAAGTAAAGTGGTTCCACTGAAAACTGGTGGAACAACTAGCATCTGAGGGCTGTGGTCAGTGCCATGAAGACCAGCTGTAAATCATTCTGCAGTGTGTCCCTAGCTCAATGAAATTTGTATGTATGAGACCGGCACATTTGTGATAAAATAATTTCTAATCATAAGTGTTTGAAACACAAGTGTCTCTAAGATTCCTTCAGAAAGAAAAATACTAGTGCCAAACAAACATCCATTCAAAACAATGTAGATCTTTATCTATGGTATTTCTCAGACATTCCTTCCAGCCTTTTTTTTCCAGTTACAACTACCTTTCTAATAGTATGTGAAAATGAAACTTACCCATAGAGACAGACATCAGGCTCAGACTTTAAATTTTCTGTAATTAAGTTTGAAAATAAATGTCATTAGAGAGTACATGTGCTTAGAAGTGAGCTTTAATATTATCTTTTTTTGTTTTATCACAAATTGCAGAATCCCAAAATAAGTTTTATGAGATTATGCTACCCCCAACAGTGTCAATACATGGTTAGTTACACTTACACATGGCTTTTATACATCCTTAAGACTTCAAAGTAAAATAAAGTTTAATTTTGAAATACAGAGGGTCAAAGATAGAGCTCTGAGTAACCTGGTCAATTGAAAAATTGCCCTGTCCGCAGCAGGGAGGTTGAAACTAGATGATCTTTAGGTGCCTTCCAATCCAGGTTGTTCTATTGATAGGATTCTGTGAAATAAAAGCAACTATCTGGGTAACATACAAGAAAAACAAAGAAGAGCTCATGCTGATGCAAAGCAACTGTAAAACATAGTTCATTTAAGCATTTTCTTTTTTAAGATATGAGTCAAAAAAAAAAAAATATCCAAACAGAATGGTACGGAAATGCAATGCAATGAACAAGAAGGGTAATACAGCTGAGATGCTAAGTGGATCAAATCATAAAGATTAGTCGAAAGGAGGGAGAAAGACAGAAAAAGAAAAGGGAAGATGATCTGCATAGGAATTCCACGGACCAATTGTGTAGAACAGCAAATCTAGCAGCTCTGGGCCTCCATCTCTGAGCTCAGCTCTTTCATTCTGCATTAATGGATTCTAAGATCCAAGTTTCTCCTGCAATTAATTGCTATGTACTTCCAAAATTATAACAACCAGTGCTAATTCTCTCTGTGGCGAAGGTAACTATTGCCCTTGAGCATGGAATGATCTGGGAAATGAGTTATCATTCAAATGCTCAGAAGAGGAGATACGATGCTAGTAGAGAAACAGACACTGGCATGTGCAGCAGTCATGAGTAATGCTTCATTTACTTCAATAGCTCTCTTTTTCCCTCCCTCTCCTTCCATACTCCTTCCCAGTTACTGATTATTGCTGCACTGAGATGAATTAGTGATGCTTTAAAAAGAAGGGGAAAACAGCATAGTAAAACATCTAGAATGCAAAATATGAAACATACAGCACTGAAAAATAAAATTGCTAAATTAATAAATTAAAAGCATGAACCTATAATATTACCACTTACTCTTCCACTTCATCTGACTTAACACTATATGCATACATACAAAGAGATGGAGAGAAAAATTTTAAAAAATATTTTAAAAATTGTTTAACATAACCCCAGTTAAAGTTTAAATTTATAAAATGCTTCTGTATCAGGGTGGCATCTCTGCCCTCAGCATGGGGGTGGAAATTAAAAAAATTTAGGTCCCTTCCAGACCATCATCCTATGAGTCTATAAATGTTTGCATTTATGTAATACCTATTATGTACTTAATATTTTATTTGGGGTAGAATAGACACATGGGTAATAATCAAATATTGAATATAAATTCATTGAAGTTGGAGTTATAACTAGACACACCTTGTGGTATATGAACAACATATATTTTTATTAATTTATTAAGCAATTATTCTATTGTCACTTGTTCTAGAGCAAAATATGCAATTCAGCTCAAAGTAGCTTCAGTCACTGCAAAGTTGATTTCTTTAACAGAAATCTAAATAAAAATGGTGGCTTGATGTATGCATCAAATGTACCCTCATGTCACGACCAAGAAAAAGATATGACACGGTGACTGGTCCTTTTGACTGCTTTGAGCCGTACACAGAGGAGATATGTTCAGTCAAAGAAATCATGTTAAATCCTGTGTAGAGCTAAAACTCCAGACTTCAAGTATGGCAGACATAAATGCCAACATGTCCTGCTTTGATCTGCTGATCCTTCCCTACTGGGTTGAATTATTTACTGATGTAAATTTAGCCCATAATTTCTGGTACTTTACATTTAAATTCCTGCCATTGATGGGTTTTATATAACAAGGACTGTTCCCATTAAAATTCTTACTATTGCACAAATTGCCCTTATTTTTTCGGCCCCCAAATCAACTCTTTAACATCTCAGATCCTCTATAATTTCTCTCTGAAGAAATACATTTCTCCGTCTTTTTCTGTCAGCAGGAGCTGAACTTCTTGTGATCCTCTGGATTCTACAATGTTCAACTCAATGTATCTTCATTGGTCCAAACTGGTTTTTATCAGTCTCATCTCTCAGTATGTTCTAGAAGATATATCCATTTTTCATATGAAATGAAAGTGAATTCATTCATTAATTTTGACACAACATCCTTGACAGCAGACCCCCTCAGTGTGGGACAGAATCAGAGAACCTGTGCAGTAGGAGCCAGAACATGGCAGAGGAATACTACCCCCAGTTTATACAGCTCTGTTAGACTAAACTTTTATTTCCTTGCTCTATTAAATCTCCTACAACTATCAAGCTGGATTTGCTGTGTCTGTATACTTCTCCCTAATCTTCTTTGACACAATTCTCTTTCTCTTCATATCTATTCACTGTTATTCCCCATCCTTGCTCATATTGTCACCAACAGGTGGACAAATCAAGTAAACCTCAGAAACATGTTCACTGTAGCAGAAAACAAAAGCATCCACATCAAAAAAAGAAAAGCAGAAAAGAAAAAAAATGTACATTGAATTGCAGTTTCATTAATGCACTCAGCCTTTAGCTGAGATTTTGTGAGGTAAATGGCCCAAATCAGGGTACAAAGACATTTGAAAATGCATATATATCTTAAGGCTCTGTATGGTATTTGGCTTTAGAACAATTATTGGAGAATTCAATTAATTTTGCAGAGTACTTTATGCTGATCTGTACGTGTCATAAAAGAGAACTTCAGGCAAAAATAATGCTGTCTTTTGGCATGAACATTGCAAAGCAAAGCAATGTCTCCTGCGACAATCTCTCCTGCTAGCATTTCCTCTAGCACCTTGGGGGATTGGAGGGGAGGCAAAGGTGGGAGGGATTGTGTTGATAGCACTGAATACCTTTCAACTCCACAATTACCTTTGAGTAATGGCTCTTGAGGAGCCATTTTGGAATGGGATCCTTCAGCGCACCAAGGCAGCTTGCATATGGTCAATCTGAAAAAAACAAAGAACTGTGTGGGTGCACTGACAAGTTAAAACCAATTAAGTTGTCATCAACACTTCGCAATTCAATATTGTAATGTTCTGAATTAGACAAAATAAAATAACTTTATGTAAAATTCCTTTTTGCATGATCTTAGGCAAAGCTCTGAACAACACAGTGCTATTCAAATGATCTGAAGAGAGCGATAACCTAAAAAAACAAGACTGGTATTTCTAAATTACTAGTTTGGTCCAGTGAATGTAATGAAGGGGCAGGAGAGCTGAAATCTCAGAATAGAGCTATTCTAAAACCTCACTTGTACTAACTGATTAAAATAGAAAGAAGTCCAAGTGCATCAATAAATCTGCCTTAATAAATCTGTTCTGTATCTGGTTGAATCCATGTCATGGCAAACTACCAGAACCCAATAATGGCTCTCTCTAAATTAAATTATCAACTCGCTTTTCATAAAAAAACAAAACAAAACCAAAAAACCCCAACAACAACAAAAAGAAAAAAAAAAACAAAAACAAAAAAACCCAAACGACTACAAAGTGCTAATGAGCAAAAAGATCAGGCTCAATGTTTTTGCCTCCTTCTATAAACCTTCATTTCAGTGTAAGGACACATGAGAAAGGAACATTTTTCTGCACAGTTATCAGCATCTCTAATATATGCCTTCATCCACTCAAGGAATCCATTTAGGATTTTGGGAAGAAGTCAGTTGCCTTAACATTAGTGTTTAATGACTTTTGAGGCACTCCAAGGAGGTAAAGACGTGTCCATAAGGACAACAGATACCACACTGGACTTTAAGAGGGATTTGTACCTTTCAGTAACAGCTGGGAGCCAGGAAGTACAGCCTACAGCCTCTCATGAGCAAAAGCTTAGATACAGAACTCAAGTGCATAAAGCTATCAAGGTACTTTCATCTAGCCTGACTCTGTCAGACACACACAGCATAATGACAGGTCTGATGAGCAGGTCTGAAGGACAGTAAGCATGAAATCATCTCAAAGAAGGAATTTCCTTCCCATCCTCCTTTCTCCTTCAGCAATGGGCTGTTGGCACTGTTAAATTTTGTTGATATTTAATAAAAGTTAACATCTGTGCCTTGCTTGCCTGCAATTACAGAGATTCATCCTAGGGCCACTTTAGAGTTTCTTACAAGCACTGATGCTTGAAGCACAGCTATAACAAAGGGATAGATTGACAGTGTTTTTCTGCCTCTAGCTACCTTCATTTGCTCTTTTTTATTTTTATCTGCCTCATATTTGTCTTATATTTTGGTTGGCCACCCTAAATGACCAGCCTACAGCAATGGTAGCCCTGTAGGAGACCATTTTATCAATCCTCTTTTTATGCAAGGCTTCCCAGGAGCAAAAAATATCAGTGAAGGATGTTTCCATGCCCCAATTACATGCAAAAACACATCACCACAGCTACAACACTGTCAGATTTGCTGAATTGGCTGGAGAGAATTATAGGGATTCTTTGTCTATAAGCCATGGTACATAATGCAAAAGTACAGCTTAGAATTGTTAACAATGAACTCATTATAGGAAGGTTATCTCAGAATTTCTCTATAAAACTTCTTTAGGGTTAAAATTCACTTCAGATCATGTTCAACATCTGTCAGCAAGAAGCAAAAGCTGGAGAAAAAAAATCTATCCAATTTTATCCATTCTTACCTCTCTAAGAGTCTTGTGGAATTGCTAGATGACTAAGAATAACTTATTTAGAACCTCACATTTAGAAAAAAGACAATATGAAATAAGATAATAGAGGAAGGAAGAGAAAACGTAAAAGGAAAATAAAACAGCTCAACTGACATCTGAGTTTTATTGAACCAGGCATGCTTTCACTATCTAGCAAGCATTTCCTACTCACTTAAATTCAAATGTTTCTTGATTTTTATGGCTCTAAATATTCCAGGTTTTCTGCAGTTCAAATGTTGGCCTTTCCTGAGTCATCATTGTTAGTGATTATCATTTTTATATATCATTATTAAATTAGATTTCATGTAAACAAAATATTGAAGCCTATTTTGCTACATAATCAACTATAGATATAACATGGAATTTTTTAAAACTGCTGTATATTAAAGCAGTTGATATATGTGTCTTGTTCTTCACCTTTAATGTCCAATTTTTTAACATGACTATATATTTACATATACTATGGCTTTTTTTCACAGACATTTTATAGGAAATGGTGAAGGTGGTGTAAATTAAAATGAACTTTGGTAGATAAGTTTCTGGAGTTATGTTGGACTGTATTAATATAAACTAAAGAACTTGGTTTTCTCCATTTTGTCCCATAGTCATCCATGACATGATGGTCATAATGCTGTGAAAATTCATATTTTAAAAACAAGGCCTTTCCAAAGTATCCAGGCAGTAAAATGGTAGTGCATTTGACAATTCTGAAAATTTTTTTTTGAATTCTAATCCATAAACTGGCATGTACAATAACAAGAAGAATTATTGATCCAGCTCAGAAATGTATATATAATTTTCTGTGCAAACATACAGATAACTTCTTTTTTTTTCTGCTGTACTGCAAAATGTTACTCTGGGGAGATGTCTGATATTCCCATCACACTAGTCAAAGCCAGGCTTAATGTAAGTTATTGCAAGCAAGAGAAATAGACTACTTGCATGCCAAGAATTCAAGTTAGATCCAACACTCTCTGAAACACAGCAGATTTTTCCCCTTTTCCCCTAAGGACCTCCAGGTTATTCAGCAAATGGAGCTGAACCACTCTACCATTTTTCAGTCAGTGTGAAATAGGCACTAAATGGAAAAGCAGTCGGGCTGTGACACACAACTTCAGACACTGATTTGTCATCCAGCTCAATGAAATGCTTTACTGAAGAGCACTAAGAAAGTAAATTTCTTTTTATATTCATATCTGCAATTAATTACACATTCAGTCTCACCACCAATAAAAACCGCGGAACAGACAATCACTACTGATGAGCACTGGGTCAAAGAAAAACCGAGAACACACTACATCTGAATTATTCTCTTTAATTGAACTTACTTCTTAATAGCAACAAATAAAATCTCTTTTCTCTCCTCATAAAAAGCATTTATGTCTGCATCTTCAAACCCTATTTTCACTCAGGACTATATAAGTGCGTCCATTTTTCATAAACATTAAGCTGATTATAATATAATTTATATGTATTTTTGAGTAATTAATATCATTTTTATGACCTAGGCACCCTCTTATAAATGTCAGAACTACAGAATACCTGTAAGGAATAAGTGGGGACTTTTCTTATTATTTTTAATTAAATACAACACCAAGTCATTCATTCTAACCCTTCTTGAATCAGTAATTCTTCCTCAGAAAGTTGGCTTCCTAATATACAGGATGAGCTGGACTCCCAAAACCTTTCCTTATATTTAAAATGTCAGAAGGTAGGTCCATTTCTTTGAATTTTTTTAAGGCTAGAAATTAGAGCTCTATGCCACTGGAAATGATCAGTTTCCCAGTTTCTAACTTTGGAGCATCCCAAGATACTGGATGTTAATGTCATGACATTTTAGATATAGAGAAACTCTTTTAAGCTATATTTAGAGATTTCAAAGGCTCCTTCTTTAACCTTCACACAAGTGGACCCACAGTAAACAGGGAATCTAACTTTACCTTAACAGTATGAGATAATCCATAAACATACTTTAATGGTTTGATATGCACCTAAAATAATTTATTTCAAACATATGTGGCATGTAAAGAAAACATTATTGTATGATTATACATTAAAGGTTTCACCACCATAAATGTAGGTCATCCAGAACAAATAAAACTGATAGCTAAAATTTTCAGAAAAGGTAACCTAAAGTGAAAATTATCAGTCCAGACTTAGAGTACTCAAGAAGTCAGCTTTTTTAAACTTATTTGTTTGGTTTTTTGTTTGTTTACCACAGAGTTAATATTTCTCTTTACAGCTGGAGATTTTTCATTGTAGACAACTATAGAGACTATAATATGTCATTTGTCCCCACCCTACATTAAACTTTTGTGCTCCTTACTTCAGCACCAGTGGTTCTACACAAAAAACCCCACAAAACTACAGATGAAGAAACATAGGAGTTTGTATAACATTTTGTATTGTCTTCTGCTGTATAGCTGTGTGTTTCTTCAACAGTATATCTTAAACTGAATTGAGAAATACACATTATTGTAGAAGGTGGATAGACAGGACCATTGAGCCATTTAATTTATAAATTTATTTTTAAAGCCCACTAGTGTTGGATTCTATTTGATAGATATTCTTCATCATCTTCACCCAAATTATATGGTAACTCTTACCTAATTATAAAATAGGTTCCATCCACAAATAATGAAATTTAGCAAAATAAGAATAGCCTAATAGTTATTTTGGTTGCTAATATTTGTAAGGGGATTACATTTAGGTCAGAAACTCCTGTATTCTTCTCCTTGTTCCTGGGAACAATAATTTCTTTATTTTCAGGCTAGAAAGAAAAAAATACTACCTTACATATTTCCATTAGACTAGTATTATTTCTATGTGACAAATTCCCACCACAAATCTCTTAAGATTTGGTTCTTTATGAATTAAAGAATAAACCATGGTCAAAAACCCCACTCTGTTCTCGCTGATGAAATCATATGCAAAGCAGCAATGAATTTCCATTAGTTTGAAAGAACAAATTAAGCATGTTTTATTTCTTCCTTTTCCTCTACAAATATTATAGAGTCATCAATATGCAGGTTTATCATAAGATACATGTTACAATATAAATGCTATTGCTCAGCAAAATGCTTAAAATTTAGGAAGCAGACCTCCTAGAAATTCAGCAGTTTAGACATTGTCTTGAAAAGCACTGCAAAAGTAGATGTTCACGCACAACCAGTTTTCTTATAAATGAGGTTAATTTGTGTTAGCAAACTCTCAAAGAACCTGTCATATTCCATTGTCTTTCGAAGTATAAAAAATTTAAAAAGATTACAAGACTGAAATAATACCCCAAAGGAATCCTGGGCAACAAAGAAAATCAGCTGGTTTTTAACTTCGTAATTTTAAATTACATGTACATCTGATTTTAAGGAGTAACTTTTTTCCTAATTGTACATATTGAAGAACCATTTTCTGGATTTTTTTTTCTATAATATTCTCTTTAAATTTGCTTTAATAATAACAATAGTTCTGTAGAATTATTTGACCCTGTACAAATGCAAGGTCAAATGTTTCACTCCAGTACAAACTTGAACTAGTAATTTGATGCTTTTTGTTCTGTACATTTTTAATGTGAAAAAAAACCACATAGAATTTCACACATTTGTGAAAAAAATACATGGTGCAACTAATAATAAGTGTTGGTTAAATGCAAATCTTTAGAAAACCAATATGTACTGGAGGTGTTCAGGAAAGAATGTGTATATGTTGTAGGTACCACAGGGCTAATACAATTATTGATACTAGTTTTTTTGATTTTAAAAGTTTAAAGTATAGACTGTATTTCTAACAAATTTTAGGAGAAGATGGTAATTGAAAGACATATTCTAGAGAAATAAGAATTAAAAGCAAACTGATGCATTAACACAGGAGAACGGTTAAAAAGTGCTCAAAGCCCACATTCACAATTTACTAGGAAGTGCCATATTTGGTGTGATAACATGGAATTCATTGTATCCTAATATGAGATTAATTGTGGCTCCACACTTCTTTCCACATGGTTTTCAGAATAATTGCTTTGCTTTCCTAGAACTTCAGTGAGCACAGAGACAGACAGCAAATACAATATATGTACCTGTTCTCTCAAAGTTTAACAAAAATATTCAGCAAACAGGTTAAATTTTATAACTGTGGTGCCTTATTGCAGATATATTTACTATCCCAAGTATAAGAAATAGACAGTTTACGCTATTTTTCTCCCTTTTTCACAAAAAAATATTGTGTTTAATTAAATGCTTGATGTTATTATAACATGCTGTATAAATATTTGTGCACTTTTCCACTAAAACACTTCACAATTGCTTTTTTGTAAGTAACCCCTGAATGCACCAAATGCATGCTGAAATGATTTATATTTGTTTTTGTATCACTGAAAGCAAACAGATATCTTTACTGTGTAAAATTATTGAATCCAAGTAATGAGGCTCCAATATATGGGCGGAGGATATAGGGGGAAATAACATTGAATTCAGATATTACCACTTATCCTATCTTTCTTATCATGCCTTTGGACTACATTTTTCTCTGACAGCTACATTAACCAATAGTTTAGCTTAGTTCTAATTTTCCAAAGAGGTATTTGAAAAGCTTAATAAGTACAGTCCTTTCAAGACTGAGTTTTCTCATGCATCAAGCATCAGGATAATCTTCAAAAATCACTGTCTACTGGGTAGCATTCATTAGTGACATTTACAATTTCACATGCCCAGGCCTGATTCTTATAATTTCCTACAAAGTTCAAATAACTTGTACTCTTATTGATTACAGACCATTCAGCATTTTTCAAGTCAGACAGGGACACGAACATACAACCACATTAACTATTTATCTAGATAAAGAATTTGAACCAGTGCAAACTGTGAATTTAAAATATTGTAGTTATGTCTACACAACTCTTATATGTAGAACTGTTTTCTGAATAAAATGTGTTTATACATGTGCATATATACACACAGACACACACACACCAAAAAAAAAAAAAAAAAAAGCAATATCTAGATAGTTTGGAATGGGATTAGGATCTGGAATAGGAGGGTTCACACAAGTCTTTATATTGACCTGCTTCAGCTTACTCTGCCACTATTATTAGAGCAATATATCTAGAAATACTTCGATGAAAACCAATCTTTATGATGAAGTAATATTTCTGGAACATTTCTAAAGGGTGGAGATGACACTTGCATTAAAAAAAATGCAATACATTATTCCTTTGGTGTAGTTTTTTATTGAAAAATATAGCCTCTGAAATAAAGTTTTAAGATTTTGATTTACAGATAAAAAAAATGTAACGGATGAACAAATTCAAATGTATATTTTATCGAGCTTATATTGGGACATATCCTTTCCTTTTTCCAAAGTAATTTCATCCATTTACAAACAAAAAGCTGGAACAAGTGTATCCCTTTCTATGTACATAAATGCATACTGTCCACAAACAGATACAGACTTTTCCTCTAGAAAATATTTTCTCTAAAGTATATTTCTTTCTATTTATTGCATTAAGAGTAAAAGCAAAAGTATTTAAAGATCCATTTTTTCGTTTCCTTCATTATTGTTTTGCAAACTGCTAATTAGAAAAGATACTTCATACAAATGATTAGTTTTTATATCTGCTTTAACACTTGAAAGGTTACTGCAATAGGAAAAGGAAGAGCTTTAATTAAAAAATGAATTATTGAATACTCCATTTTAATTGATATAGCCTTCTGCTATTATTTAGTGTGCTTATAGATATTTTTATGTGCTTCTGTAATCAAGATCATACACAAAAAGGAGTCTTTAACTACTAAGGCTGAAGAATGAGGGGTGCTGATCACATTCAGCCATTTAAGTTCAAGAATCATGTGAAGCATGGTTTCCATGACAACAAGTCACTAATTGCTAACAGAAAATAAAATAAAAATCAACCTTGACAGAATTTGGCAGTGACATGGCAGGTGAAAACCTTCCAAATAATTATGGCAATTTCCATGTATGATGAAGAAATGCAAGCAACCTCACCTTCTGAGACATGGTGAAAACACTCAGAGTTCCAGGGTTATTTTGGGTTTGGCAGAGCTGGCTGCATACAGTAGTCATTGTGCATTACACTTGGTAGTCAACACCTATCTTCAGTAACAGATAAGAAGAGATGTTTGTCATGAGGTGATGAAGGATTTTTGCATCCTTGGGCTACATATCGACACAGGAAAATGCTGTGGAAAGTGTATCAAGTAAAGAAATGACACAAACAACAAAATTTTAGCATAAATTCACAGGGTAAGGAGAAAAACATTAAAGGAGAGAAGAGGGGGAAGGAAGGAGCTATACTCACATATACCAGCCATGCTAACTTATTAGTAAGTGTTTCAGACACCTCCAGCTTGCAGACAGAAAGAGTCTTTTGAGGCTAGGGAAGACTACTTGGGAAGTACAATGATGCCATTCAAAATTTACTGACTTATGAACTGCTGCATATCATTTGTAAAAATTGCTTCAGTCTGAGTTACCTTTCACCAGCTCTGTAAGTCGATTCACAGGGTCACTAGGAGTGAACAAGAACATTTTGATAAATTCAGTTTCCATGACAATGAATTAGCCATGGAAAGGGGGAGGTGTTGAAAGATCTGTGTTCTGTAGAATACTCTTCAAATGTTTGCCTGTTTTCATTTTTAGAAATTTAGTTCACATGGCTCTGTTCCAGGACTCTAATTCACTAGTAGCTGGTTTTCCTTCACAGATTAGAAGAGTAATTCATCAGTGAATGTTTCACTCAGTGGCCCCATCTAATGTAAGAGAATATATAAATGAATTTTTCCAATTATGTTTTTTGTTTGTTTTGAAAGAATGCAGCAGTCTCTTCTGGTTCCACTCTAACTCAGCTACAGAATACTTAATCTTTCCTGCTTATTGCCCACTACTGTACTTAGGACTGCAGCTGTAATTTGCAAGACGTTAGGAGTTTGTTCTAAATAGCCATGAGCCCCCAAAACAAAACAAAGCAAAAAAAAAAAAAAGTGCTTTGGAGTTTGCTTTAAAATAAACAAGCCAATAAAAATATGTCGTATTCCAAAGCCTGCTATAGCCTACATCAATGGGAACCTCTGAGAATCAGAACTCTAAAAACAAATTGTATTTATTTTTGATAGAAGTGCTTAAAGTTATTTTTCATTTGTCTGCCTTTTGAAAGGCTAAGCCAGTGGGACATTTGTTAGTGTAAGAACTAAAATCTACTCAAATTCGGGAATGTCATTCAGCTGTTTTCAGTGTGTGTTGCTTGAGAGCCTTATACTAATGAGATTAAGAGTGAAATTGTTTAACCATTCATGAAACAGACAAATAGTTCAGAACACAAAGTAGCATGGGATCAGAAAAGCTGTTTCTATTACTATTGGGATAGATGGTTTTCCATCCGGAGACAATTGAGACAAATCTGAGTCTTTCAGAAAGTAAACCTGTTCTTACTACCTCCAGCAATACACTCCCCATTGCCATAAATAAAAACTGAAAGGACTGCACACCTTGTTTCCACTGTCTCTGCTGAACAGCATTGTTTCATGTGCTCCACAAGAAATGGAAGGGTTTTTCAACAAGCTGTTAGTGTCTGTGACAGCCCAGCATGGGCTAAAATATCGGAATGATTTTCAAAAGAAAGAAAATGTTACTAGTGGGAAACAACAGAAAAAATTAAAGAACAACCAAACAGTAAAATAAAAACCAAAAATCCCAAACCAAACAAAAAAAAAAAGCAAAATAAAAACACACAAAGGAAGCCACTAAACAAAAAATATTAAAATAAAAGAAGGAGAGGAGAGGAGAGGAGAGGAGAGGAGAGGAGAGGAGAGGAGAGGAGAGGAGAGGAGAGGAGAGAGAGGAGAGGAGAGGAGAGGAGAGGAGAGGAGAGGAGAGGAGAGGAGAGGAGAGGAGAGGAGAGGAGAGGAGAGGAGAGGAGAGGAGAGGAGAGGAGAGGAGGGAGGAGAGGAGAGGAGAGGGAGAGGAGAGGAGAGGAGAGGAGAGGAGAGGAGAGGAGAGGAGAGAGAGGAGAGGAGAGGAGAGGAGAGGAGAGGAGAGGAGAGGAGAGGAGAGGAGAGGAGAGGAGAGGAGAGGAGAGGAGAGGAGAGGAGAGGAGAGGAGAGGAGAGAGGAGAGGAGAGGAGAGGAGAGGAGAGGAAGAGGAGAGGAGAGGAGAGGAGAGGAGAGGAGAGGAGAGGAGAGGAGAGGAGAGGAGAGGAGAGGAGGAGAGGAGAGAGAGAGAGGAGAGGAGAGGAGAGGAGAGGAGAGGAGAGGAGAGGAGAGAGGAGAGGAGAGGAGAGGAGAGGAGAGGAGAGGAGAGGAGAGGGAGAGGAGAGGAGAGGAGAGGAGAGGAGAGGAGAGGAGAGGAGAGGAGAGGAGAGGAGAGGAGAGGAGAGGAGAGGAGAGGAGAGAGAGAGGAGAGGAGAGGAGAGGAGAGGAGGAGAGGAGAGGAGAGGGAGAGGAGAGGAGAGGAGAGGAGAGAGAGGAGAGGAGAGGAGAGGAGAGGAGAGGAGAGGAGAGGAGAGGAGAGGAGAGGAGAGGAGAGGAGAGGAGAGGAGAGGAGAGGAGAGGAGAGGAGAGGAGAAAAAAACTTCTAATTGAAATGGTATGACCATTTTCCAAAACACAAATGCCATTTATACTAGAGTATAATGAATATCTTGCAGCGTGGAAATCAAAATAAATGTTTTACTCAATGAGACCTAGTTGTTCTAAAGCAGAAAAATAAGAGAAGATCAGTCCATGTTGATTGGTACTCAGGAGCCTTGAATCTCAGTCTTGATTTAAAATAGTGGGACGCAGTTGCCATCAGACACTAGAGTGCATGTGGACAAGAATAAGCCTAATGACTTCTTTGGTTTATCTGCCATGTGGAACTGCTTCAACTCTCTTAATTCAGATGTGAATGAGGTGTGTTAGTAGCTGCACACTTCCACTCCTGGAGCCAAGGAGCCCATGCCGGTAGCAGGCATTCAGGACTCATTGATATTAATGGTGAGAAATCGCTCAGCCTGCTGTTCTCACTGAAGCACAGTGCAAAGCCCACTGCGAGAGACAGATGTCAGGGGCTTCTTCACTCCATCCATGACCTTCAGCTGGCATCAGGCACTGTGGCACATCTCGTCTTGTTAACATTTTAACAGGTGAGAGATGGATAAACAACAGTTCTCTCAGACCTGTAGATTGCTAATAAGTGTCACAAAATACACACTAGAGCTCAGGTGCAGATCATTAAAAAGGAAGCAGGAATGTGAGGAATAATGACACGTCAATCTACCTCAAATCAAGTCTGACACCCCCGTGATACTAGTTAGCACCATGCTCAGGGAGTTTTGCCTTCTGTTCTTTCAAACTTGAACCAGGAGCACAGCACTGGAACTTATTTCCAGATGCTTTTGGTTAAACTTTGAGCCCCTGCTCGAATTAAGGAAGAAAAGAAGAACATTCAAAATTTCATTTTTTTTTCCTAATAAAGATTTAAGTGATCTAGTCAAGCACCGTGAACTTTAACTAATAGTTTCATGCTACAGTAATGGCACCTATTATTTGAATTCATTTCCCATACTGACAGCACAACTCAGGCATACTCCAGACTATGACATTTTAAGTGACTGGTGATTTTCAGTTGTGCTTTTTACAGTACACTTGTATGAACTGCAGACTGGAATACATACACATCTCTTTGTAGAATACAGTTCATGCTACTTTTTCTTTTGCTGCTATATAGAAAAATATCAATTTTTAAAAGTGAAGTATGCTCAGGATATGTGTGTTTTCCCATGCTAGATTGAATCAAAAGGAGGAAATACTTGAGCTATAAGACAAACCTTTTAAAAGTTTTCATTGCCTCAGTCAAGCCCATGCTGTTCCAGTCTTTATCAGTATAACTGAATATTGTGATCTTACAATATAAAGCGCAGAAAGTAGGAAATGTAAACCCAGTACAGATCAGAAAATTAGTCAAACATATATTTTTCAAGGATCATCCATGTCTCATAGCTAACACATGCTTAGTCACTCAATTTGTATGTTTATATTTTATGCATAAAAAATATTTTATACATGAAAAACTAGTCACCAGCTTTCCCCTCCAATGCACTACAAGCAGACATATAACCACAATTTGGAAAGCTGTACCTATGAATGAGAAGAGACTTATTCTTTGTCACTGCTTATTCAGTGCAACTTGAGGTGCATAAAATCACATGTTGATCATAGGCAAGTAGCAGAAAAATGTGGCAGGAAATAAGTCATGCCTCTTCACTCATTTCAACTCACAAATCCTGCATTGGAAACTTCATTTCAAACTAGGTTAGGAAAAGAAGTCCAAAATTTTCCTGGGTTCTCCACATGGCTTAAGATTCCAGTACTGCATAAGGCAAAACTTGGCTCCAGTATGTGTTATTCTGATGCTTCATTATGCCTTGGCAAGACCATTTCACCATGATGTGTTCACTTCAAGTTAATTTCACTTAAGGGATGAAACCTGCAAATGAAAAGTTGACAGCTTGTTTCTCCTAACTTAAGATACAGAATCATGTTAATATTCAAGTGTTACCACTGACTTGAAGCTGACCTAGAAACCAAACCATAGACATAATTTATCATCACAGAACAGAGACCAAAGTAGCTCTTTGGAATGACCAATCTATGTATTCTGCACTCAGTCTCTTTTCTTTTTAATGAGTTTAGGGAAAAATAAAATTCGTACATTTTTAAAACAGAGTATTTTCTTTTAAAATCCACATTTATAGGCAGTATAATATTAGTAATATCTCCATGCATCAGGAGGTGAATTACTATTATTCATCTGTGCTATTTCCAGTAATTTTATGGAAATAAATTAGAAAATATGAATAAATTTTCCCCTTTTCTGTCATGTCTATTACAAGCTCCTGTGTATACTCTTCAATTTGTGTGGTTAGTTGGTTGGTTGATTGGTTTTGTTATTGTTATTGTTGCTGTTGTTATTGCTGTTATTTTTAGAATTAGAGGAATTTCCTGAGAGATACAAATGAAACCTTTACTTGATCTATCTTTACAGAAATCTTGCCAGTGTTCAAAATCAGTAAAAGCTAAATCAAATAAATGGTATTAGGTTCACAATAGTGCTAAGGTCAATAGCTGCTCTTGTGCTGTATGTTAAGCACTGCTGCAGGCCTATACTAGTCTTGAGCATGGGATCAAAGAGATAAAAGCAGAGTGACAGCATCTCTTTCACTTTATATTCCACCACTCTGAGGATCTTTCCACCAGTTCGATTCCCAGTGACATTTTGTCATTGATTTTTTTAACATATCTTTTGCATCAATGTTTTTTCAGGAACCTCCTCCAAGGAAGATGACATCAGAATGAGTTAAGAGCATGTGTGTCTACTTCATGAAAGACTGTGGGGCATTTACCCACCACCTCTACTAAAGATTTGCAATCAGTGTGCTGGAAGAAAGATCTCAATATCCCACTGACTCAATATTTCTTCATCATCAAGTATTAAACAAGATTTTTTTTTCAATTCAAGTATAGTAAAACAGTATTGATTGAGGTACAATCCTCAACCAGGTGAATTCAGTGGCAAAACTAACACATTGATCTAACCAAATGGAATAAATATCTACCACAACATATTAAAAGCCATATTTTGAAGTGAGTGGGTGACTCTCGTCGTAACTTTTTGTCCAGATCTGCAAGATGTACATATTTTTTTTTTCAAAGCTCAGCATATTCACTGCTTAACTCTTCAGAAATCTGGCTATTTTTTTGGTGAGATAAATAAAAGATGAATTCACTTTAAAATGTACTTCTTACATACCATAATAAAAAAAGTATCAGAACTTGTGCTTTTCATTGTTTCCAATCTTATGTAGAAGGCTAGGAAACTAAATAACAGTACAGAACTCAATATAAACTGTTGACAAGCCTAAAAAATAAGTTTTTATGAAAAATGCTGATGTTCAACTAGTTATTTTTTGCTGTGCATTAGAAAGCAACTGGAATTTAAAAAGAAAAAAAAATACAGTCACAAAATATACAGAAAAGTGGCTGGAATGCTGCCCAGCAAAAAAGAGCCTGGGGGTGCTGGTCAACACTCAGTTGGACATGAACAAGCAGTATGCTCAGGTGGCAAAGAAGGCCAATGGCATCCAGGCCTGTAACAGCAATAGTGTGCCCAGCAGGACCAGGGCAGTGACTGTCCCCCTGTTCTTGGCAGTGATGATGCCACCACTCAAATCCTGTGCTCAGTTCCAGACCCTCAATTCAGGAAGGACATTGAGGTGCTGGAGGAAGTCCAGAGAAGGGACATGAAGCTGGTAAAGGGTCTAGAGAGTGATTCCTGTGAGGAGCAGCTGAGGGAGCTGGGATTGTTTAGCCTGGAGAAAATGAGGCTCAGTGGAGACCTTATCTCTTTCTCTCTACAACTGCCTGAAAGGAGACTGGGTCAGTCTCTTCTCCCAGGCAAGTAGTGACAGGAGGAGAGGACATAGCCTCAAGATACACCAGGGGTGGTCTAGGCTGGACATTAGGAAGAATTTCTTCACAGAAAGAGTAATTAGATATTAAAATGGGCTACCCTGGGAGATGGTAGAGTCACAGTCCCTGGAGGTGTTTAAGGAAAGACTGGATGTGGCACTTAGTGCCATGGTCTAGTTGACAAGTTGCTATTAGGTCATAGGTTTGGTTTGATGACCTCAAAGTTCTTTTCCAGCCTGATTCATTCTGTGATTCTGCAATATGAACTCTTCTGCAGCCAGGTTGTACATTCATAAATACATTCAGCTTATTTTTATGTAAGCACAAATCCATCCTACCTATCTAGCTACTCAATAATGAGCAGATGATTTCCAGAAAGAAATTTGAACTTTTAGAGGACTCAATATTCTGTAGTACAGAATATTACATTAAAAAATCAATTACTTTAAAATATTTACATCAAAATTTAAAAAAAAAATTAAAATAAAGGAGTACTAAATAACCACTAAATAAGAAATTGGTGGTGTAGACATTTTGGTCAAGCACCTAAAATAAAGAACAAATGAAATCTGGACCAGACTGGTTCCCAGAACACTTCCTTACTCACACAAACAATATTTGCAGGAGAAGCCAAGTCTGGCAACAGACTCAGTCTGCAGCTGACTCTTCCATAGTTCAAGTGAAACCCACAGGCACTGAACTGCAGACCATTCAGGAAATTCTCTCCCATGGAATAAATTTTTCCTCATATCCCCTAAATTTTAAAAGTAAAATAATTTAAAACTACCTACTTTCACACAAGCTACTTTCACAATTTGCAGCTAAACAAGATCCTGAAATCACTTCCATTTGAAGATACATTGTTAAAAAAAATCCTGACACTTCTTTTCTTCATTAGATATGCAGCAACTCTAGATAATCAGACCTTGTTATAAAGCTACAGCCAGCAGCCTCATGACTGAAAAAAGGGGATAAAGCTGACACTCTCTAGGAGGAATAAAGTCAGTTAAATATCAGAACCGGTTGCCTCAATTGCTGTGCATACTGTGTGTTTCTATTGCAAGTTTGTCTGCACAGAGCTCTCATTCAGATTGGAAAAAGTAATTTTCTCATCACTTATTTTTATTATAGAATAAATGTATTTGTTGTAATCAAATCCAGAAAAGTCCTATTTCTTATGGAGAGATAATATACCAACATGTCTCTACAGAAAAATACAAGTCTTCTTTACCTCACAAGCCATTTTCTATTTATTAATTTGAGTTTGTCCTGTACTACTATTTGTATGGTGGTGATATCTCACAATTTTCTGCATCAATAGAAGGTTCCTTTGGCATCACAATCCACTATTTTCTATCAGAAGACAAGCAGAAATATGAAGCAATATAATAATATAATTTTTTTCAATAAACAAAACATTGGCAATATAACCACACTGCTATATATGCGACCTGCTGTGTAAGCAGACAGCAGAAGTAGCTTCAGTGGATCCCACAAAATCTTTTTATATGCCTTATTCACAATAAAATTATAAGCAACAGTATTTCAGCTATGATGGTTTCAGCATCATGGTTTCAGAGACACAAGGGTTGGGATTAGTACCTTTTAACATACAGAATGTAAAAATGTAAGTCTTTAGCCAGGTTTCTTCCCAGTTAAAGGTAAAAATGTCCTCCAGAAGTAATTCCTCTGACCTACCCTAAAAGTCTCCCAAATTCCCCTCTGGATTTGTTTACTTTTACAAATGCAATTAAGGAGGCTAATGCAGATATGGTAATCTAACCATAAAATCCTTATCAGAAAATAAAGAATTCTTTAAAAAGGCTGATATGAAGAAGCCATATATCTCATATCTTCCAATGAAGTTGGGAAAAGCATATCTAACCCAGTAAGTGGACTTTGTGTCCTGAAGTCTACCTATGTTGTTTTTCACCGCTGGACTGAGAAGAGGTCCCCCTTTACACATGTTGTGCCTTTACAGACCTTGATGTTATCTGACAGGATTTCAGTTTCAGAATACTTTCAGTTTTCACTGGGTTCCTGGGTTCCTTGTTGTGTTGGCTAGGTGACAGGGTTATGGCTTTGAATCTCCCATATGCAGATTTTGGTATGTCAGAGTTTTCCTATTAAGCTTAACGCCTACTTTCTTTGCAGAATTTTGCTTCCTTTCAGATACATTGTTTTGCAATGAATAGGATTTTATGATTTTATATCTTATATTTGCATGTCTTTCCTACCCAAGGAGATAATTCCAGCACAGCTTAGGCACATTTTACTGAAGGATCCAAGAGCATTTATTCTGGATCAGTTCAGATTTAATATTCTTCAGTAATTTTTCTTTTTCGGACTCAACACAACCAACAGCTCCATTGTACGTTTATGCTAAATGCAAATGGGGGGATGGGAGGAGAGAATTGAAAATAATTTTCCAGTCCCTTGGATATGTGTGGTTATTACTGCCCTGTGGCAGCCCCTGACAGAAAAGGACACGTGTCAAACCACATTCTGCTTGCCAAACCTAATCCTTTCTCACTAGCTTGTTGTGTTCCAGCACAGCCATAAATGACATCCAGGTACACAAAAACCTGGAACCAGTTTTCTTGCCATCTGCAGAGAGGCAACTGCTCACTCTTATCAAAATGAGGCATGGATGCCAGAAGAATAAATAAAATTTATGATCCTTTTCTGACATATTTGTAGCCTCAAACAATAAGGAAAATGAAAAATATTAGTGTTAAAGAAGCAAAGCCATAGAGTCTTAAGATAAAGTCCTTGGAAAAAGTTTTACTTAGAGTGTGTGTCCTGACATAGCGTCCAAGGAACATTTTTCACCAAGTGAAAGCATGCTAAATTATGCTGGTAGTGTCTTCTCTTCCATGTGGATGCTGACAGGTGTTTGGAAAAGAAAATCTTCCTTTCTGCTTGACCTTAAAAGCTGTTTATGGTATATTTATAATGTAAAACAGTAAAACAGTACAACAAAAAGTGTTTTTCTGTGATAGAAACAAGACACTTTTGCTTTGTTACTTAAATTATATAGAAAAATGTTTAAACTGTTTTTCCTAATAATATTCATAATAATAATAGTAATAATAACTATCACTTTCAATGAATAAAAAAAAGCCATTGATTGCAATGTGCTTTGCCATACATCTGCAATGGAACCAGAATTCTGCAATCAGATTGTGGTAAAAACGTGTCTATTTCCTTTTATTTTTCCCAAATAGCTCTGTAAAATGCATACATTTCTAATAGGGGTAATATTCTCTCAGGGTTAGGCTGAGTGACAAAGACTAGTGGTAATTTACATGAAAGTGATTCATGTAATGGGGAAAGCTGGAGGAGGTGGGTGTCGGTAAGAGAAGGGATGGAACAATGGAAGACAAGAAACAGCGCAGGATACAAACTGCTTTTTTAAAGACTTCTAATGACTGGTTATTTTTGCACTAGGGTAACAGTCTTAAAGAGGAAGCGTGATTAAGTTTTAAACAGTGACTGACAAAAAAATACAAGCAGCCTCAACAGGAAGAATAGCAGTCTGCAATGAAAGACAAGTGCTTCTGGTTTACAGTCATGGGGAGTTTCATGTCTTGGAGTTGCCGGAGAAGTAAACAGTATTTTTCTGTAGTTTGTAAAGTTCAAGTGGAAAACTGGACTTTTATACATTTTAGGAGAAAATCAGAGAGATTGACTTTTTTCACATTTCTCTAATACATATTACACAGGCAACACAAGCTTGGATGACAACTACACTGAGTAACACAAACATAAATAACCAGTAGTGAGCTCAGGAAAAGTGGGACTACAGGGTCTGTGGAGTTTTTTACAATTAAAACACAGATAATTTCCACGAAAAGTATTTTATTTTTGCTTGTTTTTTTAATCTAAATTTCAAGGAAAAAAATAGCTTCTTTATTTTCCAATATTCACAGCTTTATTAGGGGGGAATAACTTTTTTGGATTTAAGTAGGCTGGAAAGTTATTTCCTCTGAAGCATTCTTAAATAATCTAATTGTATTACAACCAAACAGGGTAGAATAATTGCATCAAAGTGTTTTTACTCCATTTGTCTTGTAGCAAATATTTGATATGGAGGTCAGTAAGTATTACACTTAGAAGTTAAACTGTTAACAAGGAATGTACTACTGATTGTAAGCATTGACTAATAAAATTTGGGAAATTTTGCCCTAGATATTAAGCCAGAAATGAGAGGAAGAAATATTGATGAAGGAAGAATGAGAAAGCAAAGATCTCTGAAGTTGGGCACTGAGTTTTTAAACATGACAGGTTTCATTATATCTAATTAATTAATTAAATTTTTATGGCATAAAATGTTGCGGCTACTGAAGAGTTTCTTTTATTA